CGAGCAAAAAAGTGACATGGCCCACACAACCGACTACAACATAACAGAAAGAAAAGGGCATGCAGCGACAACGAAAAGGATGGCGACAAAAGAGAAAGCGTAAAGGAGAAACACAGGCCAGTCAAATAATGAAAATACAACACAAAGCTTTGCGCAATCAACAGAAATGAACAACAAAACGCGAATTCCATTCCCCTCAGTCTATGCGTCCGTCGTTTTGCCGCGTATCTCGTTTTCTCCCCCCTTGCAGACCAGCACCAACGAGCCAATCCCCTTAAAAAAAACTCAAAACAAAAGAAACAGACAAAAAAACTTATTTCATTGTATCTTCCCGCGTTTTCAGAAACTCAAACAAACAACGACACACAAACACAATTGTAGAATCGTATGCGGCCCCTGCGCTCAATCCATAACCCAATACCAGGCAAGTAAGCATTGGAGATCAATATATTTATATACCACAAAGGGGGAGGAAGGGCTGTTCAAAAAGAGAAAAACACCACTGTTGAAAGACCGGAAACGCGGTATTTGTATCTGCTAACGACTCGTCACACAAAGCTATAATGGAAAAAAATACAAAAAGGGATTTAAAAAAACAGACCTGCTCCCTTGGGGGGTTGTTGTCTGAGCCTCATTTACACATGCAAGTAGACCCAAACAAATGGTTACATGCTTATAGGCCACGGGTCAACCAACGGGTGGCACGCACTTCAATTATAACACATATAAAACTCGGCATATTCCCATCAAATCTCTTGTACACACGCGTTTTTTTTTACACGTTTTTTTTTTCTTCGGCTGAGTTTTTCATTGGTGAGAGTAGGAAAGATTAAATCGTTATTTCCTGCTGTTTGATTGTAATCAACGGTGCAGGATTTTGTAAATCGTTTGTTTATTTTCAATTATTACTATTATTCCTTGTTTTCTTCATTTTTTATTACTGCGGACTTAATATATCTATAGTACTCCTTTGTCTTTCTCGCCACTCCTCCACGTGAGCGGAGTGGTGGGAAAACCCTCATTTCTCCTTATTTTTTTCTCTACCCCGCCTCTCTTCTCCTCCAGTCACGTTAACTCTTAACCCTCCTAATACATGGAGGGAACAAGGGCAGCAGTGTTCTTTTGTGGGCATCATTCAACGTCATTGCAATGCCACAGTAAAAGGCAATGACGCCGCAGATCATTCCCTCGTAACCGGCGACCTGCAACATAACGCTGCTATTCGCCCATAAAGCAATGCTCTGAGTCACGATGAAGAGGAATCCTGTAAAGAAAACCATAGTGACTGCAAGCGGCTCGCAAAGAGAAGACAAAAATCCGATAAAAAGAATAAGTGCCCACAAAAAGGCGTTGATACCGACCAATCCATCCTCCGCCCCTTGCAGAGACGCATAAGGCGTGCCCGGGTTCTTCTGCGGTAAAATCCACACCATAGCCGTCGCCAACCAAAAGGCACCAAAGCTAGTGGAAATTGTACAGCCAAACGTGTTTCCACGAACAAATTCCATGACGCCCGCAATCAGTTGCGTGAGACCGCCGTACATTATGACAACTCCTGCCGTCGTTGTGTTCATCGCGAATAGCTTCGCAGTGGATGCATTAACCAAGAGGGTGGTTGTGCCAAAGGCGAGCAACCCAAGTGCGCCGGGATTACCAAGCTTCTGCCGATAATCATTCGCAACTGCAAGGCTCTCCGGGGTCATCTCCCTGGCCTCATCCCCATTTCTTGTCGGAGTACAATCGTCATACTTCACAGGCCCAGAGATATCAGCCATGTTATCATTCACATCGCCCCGCAGGCACATTTCCTCTCTTTTCTGCATCTTTTTAGTGACTGTACGTAGCGGCTGTGAAGTGGGCACAACAAAGAGTATATTCGCCTGGGTCGCTGGCCGGATCCTGGAATTGTCTAAGAAAAACCAAACAATACAAAAAAAGGCGTAAGTGGAGGGGCACCAAATTCCCCTCAATGCCTTCTTCCAATATACATTTATATATTCGGATGACCACTCACGTGGCCTTTTGCACTTTGTTAGGATCAGAAATATTATTACTTACAAAGTGGCAGAGTTTGGGGTGTCGCCCAGCCACAAGACCCCGCCACGAGGAGGCGGGAAAGCAAAAAATAAAAATACACAAATAATTTCGTCCTGCCAATGTCGGTTCTCTGTTCCCTCTAAAGTCGTGGTCCTCCAAACAGTCATAAAATAGGGGAAAGTGGCATAAAGAAATGTATTCATTTTATCAGGGTATAATAATAATTATTATTATTACGGCGACCAGCTTTCCCCTGCAATCACTCTCCTAACAAGCTCCTAGAGGTGGCAACAAAAAACATCGTGCCAAACAGCAACACACACGCCGACAATATCTTTAAGATGCTCGTCGTACTTCTTCTCGCCATTCCTTTAAAAGGGAGAGATGAAGAAAGGGGCCGCCAGTACCAATAACACATCAAGCTAGAAGAACCACCACACCACCAACCAACACCCTCCCCCATGCGTACTTTGACAGCCAACGATTAGCACGGCAATAAAAGGAGTCGTGAGGCCTCCCCCACCACGAGATTGAAGAAACTCGTCCAATTCGCCATGCTTCCACACAACAAGGGATAATTAAAATGTGTGAACACCGTCGCAAGAAATCAAACTGCACCCAATCGGAGCCAATGAGTCGCCGCTGCGGGTGGACAACCTAGCGCTAGGTCGCATCACACAAAAGGGGACAAAAACGAGATAAAGTCCGTTGACACAACCGCCACAAGGGCGTCGACAATTTATTATCCATATACATGTTGCCTTGTTCTCCTTGGTGCTGATTTAAAAGGCGTTATCCGCCCCCCCAATTCTTCCACGAACGGGCCAAAAGCCACCCAAAGCGTTGAATTATACTCACAACAGACAGGGAAATCCGACCGGCGGTGACGGAACACGAAAATCCCCCTCTCCATGCGATTTGTTCATATTTAAGCAAAGAGTGTACGTCAGCAAAAATAGTGTGCACACCATCCTGCCAGCGTCTTCCCACAACCCAAGTAGTGTGCGTAGAGGAACTTTCGGGGTGCAATCGCAACAGTGGGAGAGCAGGAGCCAAAAAGAATCCAAATAGAGACGGCAGGAAATTTGGCCCCGTCACAGCCCAACGTCGTTACGAGCGGGTGGGAATTACGAGCAAAAAAGTGACATGGCCCACACAACCGACTACAACATAACAGAAAGAAAAGGGCATGCAGCGACAACGAAAAGGATGGCGACAAAAGAGAAAGCGTAAAGGAGAAACACAGGCCAGTCAAATAATGAAAATACAACACAAAGCTTTGCGCAATCAACAGAAATGAACAACAAAACGCGAATTCCATTCCCCTCAGTCTATGCGTCCGTCGTTTTGCCGCGTATCTCGTTTTCTCCCCCCTTGCAGACCAGCACCAACGAGCCAATCCCCTTAAAAAAAACTCAAAACAAAAGAAACAGACAAAAAAACTTATTTCATTGTATCTTCCCGCGTTTTCAGAAACTCAAACAAACAACGACACACAAACACAATTGTAGAATCGTATGCGGCCCCTGCGCTCAATCCATAACCCAATACCAGGCAAGTAAGCATTGGAGATCAATATATTTATATACCACAAAGGGGGAGGAAGGGCTGTTCAAAAAGAGAAAAACACCACTGTTGAAAGACCGGAAACGCGGTATTTGTATCTGCTAACGACTCGTCACACAAAGCTATAATGGAAAAAAATACAAAAAGGGATTTAAAAAACCAGACCTGCTCCCTTGGGGGGTTGTTGTCTGAGCCTCATTTACACATGCAAGTAGACCCAAACAAACGGTTACATGCTTATAGGCCACGGGTCAACCAACGGGTGGCACGCACATCAATTATAACACATATAAAACTCGGCATATTCCCATCAAATCTCTTGTACACACGCTTTTTTTTTTTCTTTGTTGTTTTTGTCACCTTTTATGCCTCTTTTTCGCTTGTTCTCTTCACAACCAATCCACATCACCCAAATTTCCCATTTTACCTTCCCTCTTTTCCCTCAACTACTGACACACACACACACACACACACACACACACACACATATGGAGAGAAAATAAATAAATAAATAGATCCAAACGTCTTACATGAGGCCACAAAAGCAGCCAGAGCATTGGCTTCTCTCAATATACTTCTGGTTGCTTGTAGCAACTAAAGCGCGTGCGGATTTTGCTTGCAAAAGTTCTTTTTGTTCGGCGGCTACGAGTTTCATTTGATTCTTCTTTAGATCTAGTATACGCTTTGCTTCCGCCTCTTCAGCGTTTCGGTAGCCACATTCCACAAGTACTGTACCAAACATATAATTCCGCAACATGTTCACCTTTGCATGATTTTGAAGAAGAGACCGTAGATCATGCTCGGCCCTGCCTAATTTGTTCTCATAGTAGTGGTAATCCCGCGTTGTGGGAAAGATACTCCTGTCCACAGTCGCGTTCGTTAGGGAGGAGGCGGCACTTCGGAAAAAAGGACTGTCCGTGTCCTCAATCCACTCATTCTCGCAACCACTCTCCCCAGTACCTGGAAGGAATATCTCCTTTGGTAGCACTATGTTCAGCGTACTGCAACACTCCGCCACGAACTGCAAGTGTTTCTCCCGATCCCTCTTAATAAACAGTTGAAGGTGGGGTGACTGCGACACACGAAAAGCCACTTCTCGTTGTGCCATACCTATTGCATCATTGCCAAAACTCCCCCCCAACTGCAGTGCACGCAGTGACGGATGCTCAATGGCATCTTTTGCCGACAAGCGTGTGGCGGGATTAATATCAAGCAAACACCTTAACAAGTGACGCAGACTCAAGGGTGAAATCTCCTCCGTTGCACTGCTATCAGACGTGTTGTTGCCTTTCCCTAACGAGTCATCCATCATCATGGTTGTTGTTTCAGTTGTTTCTCTTGGTTCAGGGACGTAATCCAAATCAATTGGAGATGTTTGCGAAGCAATCTCACGAAACAATTGATACCTATTGCAGACATCCATTTTACATTCCCAGAGTGGCCTCCCCACAAGAAGATAGTAAAGAATCACGCCACAGCTCCACATGTCATTCTTGAATGCGTCAACTTTAACCATATTTTTTTCATCCTCAACATCTTCAGCACAGTAAAAATATTTGCAGACTTCTGGAGAAATATACATCGGGGTCCCCTGATCGTTATACTCTTCCAGGACGCTACCAAGGTCTGAGATTTTCAATTCTCCGTTGGCAAAAAGAAGAATATTTTGTAGCTTTAAGTCATTATGTGCAAGGCCTTGATTGTGCAGGTACGCAACTCCATGCAGCAGCTGATACATGACACCTCTCACAAAATCGGCAGAAAAAAGGGGAAACACGCTGTCACCCAGTGTAGAGCTAAGTAAGTTCATCTCAGTTCACCCGCGCT